AATTTAATTTGTAACAATTCTTGTTATAAAAGTAATCCAAACATAACAGTGATAATAACTTAAAAAAACAGCACAGACTTAAGAAATCCGAGAATCTTCTTATTCTGTCTGTCCTGAAGGTATCACAGGACTGTAAGACACATCTCAGTTCAGTTTTTCGATGTTAGCATACCACAGTATAGAGAAGAAAAACTGTTTGTTCTTTTTGATATTTTGCTCAGTGCCTTGATGGCACATAAGGTTGCACAAAGAATCTTAATTCCAGAAGTCTCTGTTATTAATTCACCACGATAAAATTAATTAATAGGCCCCTGACTAGAATACGCCTGTTTGTGCGTGTGCGTCGCTTTTCGGCCCCTGCTGTCCTTGCAGAGACTCTTTTAGAGAGCAACAAGAGCTCTCATTCAAAACATCGGAACATCAAAACAACGTGAAAAAGAATTATCACATGAATGCTGGGATATCAACATTTGTTGCCATCCCCTACTGCCTAGCCTACCACTAGATTTGAGTCTCTATATGAGTGTGTCTTCGTCCTGTCTGTCAAAGCTCTCCAACAAAGAGTGCTGGCTGTGGCTCTGGCTCTGGCTGTGGCTGTGCCCGAGCAGTGCTGTTGTCTCGCCGTCCGCCGTGCCCGTTGTCGTGCTGGAGTGCTCCGGGGAGTGCTCCGGAGAGCTGGGGTCGCCTGCCACCGTGGTGCTGCTGGTGGACAGGGCCGTGCCGAGTGCCGTGCCGACCTGCATCAGGCCGCCGCCACCGCTACCGCCGCCACCACCCCGGAGCATGGTACTGTCTGCAAAGTAACGAGCATTGAATTACCCACTGAAATCGGAGGGCACATTCACCCTGATCTACGTTTGCTCTTTGCTTTTCCCAAAATATCCTTAAGCTGTTGAGATCGTAGATGCTACAGGAAGGGAGCAAGTCAGTCTCTTCTAAAGTTATTAGTGTGGGAGGAAAATTTGATTATCTATAATCATAATTAAATTACATGCAACGAGTACCTGTGTTTGTACAGTAAACTGACGTTTCACTCATAGACTATTGTGAAACATCAGTTTGTGAATGAATGTGTTCTGTGCCAAGTGAGATAGAATCTACATCAAATATGTGCCAAGCTGTTTGACAATTAAATTAAGTAATACATTTATTTTTAACTCGTAGTCTAAGAAACCAGTGCTCAGTCAGACTAGCAACCAATCTAAAAGTCGTGCTGTGGAACGAAATAGCAGTTTAGTCCTTGACATCAGCATGACATCATTTACAGCTAAGTATATCTCGTGACGGCACTTTGGCGTGGTCTTTATCATTTTTACTCTACTTGGTGAGAGAGTGAAAGTTACTTTTAGGTGCGCCCACAATGAACGTCCCCCGAGCCCCCCTCTCTCCGAAGTCCCCGCACTGGGGCGCTCTGGGCGGGCCGCCGTCTTCACGCGGCTGCCTGGCGGGTTGGCCTACCCAGCGCACGGCAGGCGCTATCATTAGCGTCGCCCCGTGAGACGTCCATTCTGGTCACACCTCGGGGACACCTTGAGCATATTTCTACGCAACGTGAAGCTCCCATCAGATCTGTGCCAAAAGATGTCGGTGACACGTAAACACACGGTGTTGCGCGCTGCCCAGATGACAGAGCAGGGGTGCCTAGAGAGACGTAAGTAGTGAGGAGGGTAGGTGCCCAAAGTGGTGCCCAGAGAGGGTGATCGCTACAGTCACACAGTCAGACAGCTCTCAGACCGCGCCGGATGATCGTGGCCCGGATGGAGGTCGATTGTCCTCGGAGCTTGCGTTTCCACCGGCGACTGATAATGCCCAGCAGGGACAGAGAAGAGGACGAGGACGACGTCGAAGCGGCTGCACTTGGAAGGAACAGCGTCGGCGGCGGGAAAAGCGCCCGAAAAAAGAAAAACATTGTCCTGGGGTGTATTTTGACGTCCCCCCAAAAAATCAACTTTTCTTCTGAAACTCGGCGTGCCTTGGGAGTAAATTCGCCCACGAAGCAATCACACCCCAAAAGATGACTCCGGATATAGACTCCACAGAAAGTTGGAGAGTGAAAAGAAATGTGAAAACTGCGATAAACCGAGTTAAAAGAATCGGCAGTCTTACCGTCCGGAGGGCTGTCCATGGCCATCATGAGCAGACTACAGTTCTCCCGGTATCCCGACGTACTCGACGTGACGGACATGGCGCTGTCCTCGTCGTACGAAAGGTCGCTGGGACCGTACGAGCCCCGGGGGCCGAGGCGCGCGCCCACGGGGACGGCGATGGAGCCCGCGCCGGAGCCCAGGGCCGGGGTCGGCTGCAGCGGGGGCGGCAGGTGGCTGCTGAAGCTCGAGTCCTCGTCGCTCCGCGGCTCCGACAGGCTGGGCGGCGTGGCTGCAACAGCGCGAGGTGTCATCCGCTTGTCACCCTCCGAGCCCGCCAGTAATACTGCTTGGGATACTTACTGTAGGGGCGGGCGAGCGGCGCGCCCTGCGGCAGCCCCGGGGGCAGGTTGGGCGGCAGCAGGGGCGGGCACGACGAGAGGGGCGGCGCCGAGGCGGGCGGCGGCGAGGCTGGCGGCGAGGCGAGGTGCAGCGCGGCCAGGCGCGGGCTGCGCTGCTCCCCGATGCTGCCCAGGCGGGTCTGCCGGGGCCCCGGGCCGCCGCCGCCGGCACCCGCAGCCCCCGACGGCGGCAGGTGGGACAGCGCCAGGGTCGAGTGGTGCCGCACGCGCCCGAGCCCGGACGTCTCCGTCTCCAGCGTCAGCTCGGCCGTCTCGGTGGGCCGGCGCGCGCGCACCGACATGTGCCGCGTCAGCTTGAGCAGCTCCGACTCGGAGCCCAGCTCCTTCTGGCGCGGCAGCGACAGCGCCGAGTCCGCAGAGAGCTGCTTCTGCGGGTCGCCTTTGGACTGTGGGCCGAGAAAAATAAGATCGTGGTGCTACCATTCACTCAGGCGAGCCGGCGCTGGTTCTACTCTCACCCCCGGCAGTACTCACATCGGGTCGGTTCTTCCTGCTCTTCCGCAGCCTGAACGTCTTGCGGCTCTGCGCCTTGGAGCGCTGCAGTCTGGGTCGGTTGGCCACCTCGCTCGAGTCCTCGTCCCCGGGACTCGTCGGGCTCACCGCCTCCCCTGGAAACGGCAACATCGGTCTTTGTGTCTAATCTATTGTACCGGGACCGGGAAACGCCGATCCGTTTCCTCGCCCGCAGCCAAGCCCTACCTGGCGCGGTCGCGCTGCCCTTGTCCGGAGTGTCTTCCTTAGACAGGCCTTTGTTGCTGCTGGCCACACTGCAGACCGATTCTACGGGTGACGAAAATGCAAATTAGTGTGGGGAAATGAGGACATGTGAGGGGTACAGGTCCCCTACTGCATTGCTAGACGTCAGGCTGCGAAACGGATAGAGTGGCCACAGGCGGCCTCGCTAAGCACCACAAAAGTGAGTTAGTGTAACTACAAGTAGCTGAAGCCAAAGATTGTCATGATCGCCATTAACGAGAAGGTAAGCGCGCGAGTGTGTCGATTCGAGTGCCAGTGCCCCCCGTGCACTCCGCTGCACTCCGTGCAGTGAATACCCACCCCGGTGCACGTTCCGCTGGTGGTCGAACTGGTGGGTGGCCCCGGTGAGCAGGTCAATGATCGAAGGCCGGTGGTGTCTAGCATGCGTCGTCTCCATTACAATGTGCCTGTCCATCACTTGCTCGTCTGCAAAAGGTGAGCGCGGGTTTCAAATATACGTACAAGCTGGGGGTGGTTGTGGAAGTGGACTCGCTCTCACTCTACGGAGTCTCGCATACACGAAGGAAGGGAAGAGTGCAATCAACAAGAAGAGGAAAAGTTAAGAAATTATTTCAAGTCGTTGTTTTCCGAGAGCATGCTGTTTGAGTGCTACACATTCCCGTGAAGCACGAGATGCTCCTGTCATGCGCAGATCGCTAAAGGAAGTGACAGTGACAGGGGAACTAGACCACACGTCCTCAGAGGAGGGCGCCGTGGCCTGTTAGTGTTTACAAGTGGCGAGTGGTGGTCGCAGCAGGACTCACCGTAACGCTTGTCGTCGAGTTCTTCCTTCAGCTCCTTGATCTCGTGCGCCAGTTCCATGAGCAGCGTGCTGCGCGACTTTGGCAGCGGCAGGCTGAAGCCGCGGAGCTTCTCTCGGATCACGAACATGGAGTGCCGCTCCGCGTCCGAGGTCGGCGGCTGCGTCAGCTTCTGGCTGATGAACGGCAGCAGCAGCACGAACAGCGGCGTCCGCTGCGTCACCACGAAGTCCAGGAAGTTCCAGAACACGGCCCCGGCGTCCTTGTGACGAACCTGATCGCGGAGCACCCGCGCTGTCCGCGGCCAGTCGGGCGTCAGCTCGCGCTCGAAGCACACGATGAGGATCTTGAGGGCTGCGCGGGAGACAGGAATGTTACGAACCGAGTGAGCATATAAAGCAACACGGGCATGCGGGTTCAGCGAGCGGAAGAGCCAAGAATGAGCCACCTGACGTGGCTTTTCAACCCCCAACTGCATCACTCACCAAGGAAGGACACCTGGTACAAGCTCCTGGGCACTTTGGGGAGCGTCTGCTTCTTCGAGTCGGTGTGGCTGCCGCCCGTCAGGCTGCCCGCCCGCATCTCGGACACGGTCTTGATGTTCTGGCTGGCGGTGGGGTTCGTCTTGGGCCCCGGCGGGCTCATGGCGTTGAGCACTACGGTGAGGATGAAGCTGATGTCCGCCTGCCTCAGCGGCGCCACGTCTGGGATAGATTCGAGAAATTATTTGCCTCTCTTCTGTGAGCCATATACCCTTCCACACGGAGAACACGTTAGACGTGGACCCACCTTTCCTCCCGCTGCCCACCCGGATGCACAGCGGTATCAGCACGTTCATCAGCATGACCTCCGTCTTGTCCGGCGTAGCGAAGGTGGCGCTGCCACTGCACACGTTGTTCTCCAGGGATGCCGTCTCCTGCAATTTGGCGAGTTCAAGGGGGTTACGTTTCGCGTGGCCCGGGTGCGGGCGCCGTGGACGTAGGCAACCTCCAGCCGGCCGCGCACGGGTGTGGTCGCGTTGCCTACCCAGCGGGGCGCCGTGGACGTAGGCAACCTCCGGCCGGCCGCGCACGGGTGTGGTCGCGTTGCCTACCCCCACGGCGCTCCACGGCCGCTAAGAGCACTGTTTTTCAACGAATGTGACGTCACATTCGTTT